GGACGAGGAGGAGGGGGAGGACGAGGAGGAGGATGGAGGAGGGAATACACAGGCCGAAGACCGTTGGGAGAATGCAGTATAATCATATCCTTTGAATCGTCAGCAGCACAAGAAGTCCCAGAATTCAGGGCGCTTCTGACACCTCCATTGTTGCCTCTTTCTTTTCTTTCTCTTTCTCTCTCTTTCTCTGTCGCCGTCTGTGCCTCTCGCCCGCGGACAATGCCGCCCTCTTCAGCTTCGGCAGCAGGAGGAGGAGAAGATGAGGATGAGGAGCGAGGAGGAGGAGGGTGAGGAAAGAGGAGAGGAGCGGGAAGAGGAGGCGAGAGGAGTAGGTTGTGGAGGTGGTGGAGTAGTTAGGAGGAGGCGGAGGAGGAGGAGGAGGACGAGGAGGAGGAGGAGGAGCAGGAGGAGGACGAGAACAATGAGGGGAGGGAGGGATGGAGGGAGGGAGGAAGGGGAGGAGGAGGATGAGGAAGAGGAGGAGGGAGAGGAGGAGGAGGAGGGAATACTTTATGATCATATGAACCAGAAGGCGAATAATAGTATTCATCAGATGCTCAATAGCAAGAATAATAATACGAATAGACATGTTAATACGGTCAAAACGAGGGATAGACGTACTAACAACATGTTCAATACGAATCGTACACAAGAGTAGTGGTACTGATATCACTAATGAGGAAAGTCGTGCTAACCATAGAGGAAGAAGCACACTGACACGAATATTAATACTGTTTAGAAGAACAAGCACAAGACGAACTCACATCATACCAATGATACGGTGAATGCTAAGATGGCGAAACATACCACTAACATGCATGAGAAGAGTCATCCTAATAACGATGGTAACAATACTAATGATACTATCACGAGCATGATCAAGACGATTAAGCAGACGATCGATTATACAAGTAATATTTGATCGTATGAGTCATATTCGTAATAAGAATATGAGTACTAATCAAACACATATTCGTACGATAAGTGTTAATCAGAGTTAAAAACAGGGGACTTATACATACGACTACGAAGGACAATACTACGAGTCACATGAACAATATAATTAAGACCGTTTATAACATTAACGCGACGAACCATAATCATAGTATATTCAGAAAAAGGAAACGAAATACGAACATTTAAAACCGTTCCCAGAGTTATACTAATAATACGACTCATAATGTTATTACTACGGATAGTAACGGTAGTTATTAGGCGAATGCTGTTAAGACTAGTTAGAATAACAATGTTACGAACACGAAGAACAATAATACTATTCCGAATCAGACTAAGAGTAATACTGAATGGTATTAAGAAAACTAGATATATTAATGCTTGTATTAATGCCGATGATGCAATGACAATGTGAAAGGAGGAGGAGGAAGAGGAGGGGAGCAGGAGGGGAACGCCTCCTCCCTCCCGTCCCCCCGCCCTGCCCCCTCCACTTGCCTTCCTTCCTTCCGCTTTCCTCCCCTGCCCGCCCTCCTCGCGTCCTTCAATCTCCTTGCCCAGCTCGCTTTGCCCTCTCCCTTCCTTGTGCGTTCCCCCTCCGCTGCCCCTTGCCCGCCCGCCTACCCCACTTGGTGGACCATCCTTGCTCCTTTCACGTCTGTCCGCCCCTCGCTGCGAGGTGTCGATGTTCGTGCTCTGCGCTGGGAGCGCTGGCTGGGTTTCCGGGTTTTCGCCCGGTGCCCGTTGTTTTACCACATAGCTTGCACCACACAGATTGCGCCGCATAGTCGTTTCGCAGGCAGTACAGCGTAGATATTGCGCTCCATGCTAGTGCACAGCGTATCTTGCACCACATATTACGCACCACATTGCACTCAGAAAAGAGAGGTCCGAATTGAGACCAGGGTTCTTGTCGTGGCCCCTGGTCAATTAGTAGGGCTCAACGACGGTTTGGCGCTGCGTGGTTCGTGTGCGCGAGTATACATTTATATCTCCATCAATCACGCGTTGCCCAACAATGCTGGCTGGTCCGCCTCCATGTGTTTCTCGTCGTGGGCGACAAACCAAAACGACCCTCACGTGGCGACTTGGCAACGTGGAGCCGTACAGGCCGACATTTTAATTTGAAGCCTGTGGTTTTCCAATTTGAACCGCGTCGCTGCTCATCTTCAAATCGTCTCTCTTTGAAAACTGCTTACATTTTTTGATTGATAAATTTGAAAATAAAATGTCTTGAACGTGGGAATATCGAGATGTCCTTCTTGAATTGAAGCCTCAGCTTCGGGGGTTCAGGTCCGCAGAACGAGCAAGCGGCGGAGAGAGTCGGCTAGAGTCAACCACATACGCCAGATTAGCTAGACAAGCCTGATCACATTGACGGGCAATACCCGAAGCTCACTTTTTTTTTTTTTTTTTTTTTTTGTTTTTTGGGGGGGGGTCTGAAAACCAACTGGGCGTTTCGGTCTGCACGTGGCACGATGCATCGGGTAACACAAGTTGCGGATAAGATTGAGGGGCGGGCGCGGGGTGAGTTGCGGGTGGGTCGCGGGTGGGTCGCGGGGCAGGTCGCGGATAGATCACGGGTGGGTCACGGCGTCTCGATGTGTGCACGCTTGGATATGTCCCAATCGGAAATGGAGCAGCAATTCGACACATCATTGCCTTGGTCGGGAGGGAATGTTATCGAAATGTTATGTAATTGAAGGAGTGGGCAAGGGACAAGCTGTTTGCGTTGAGCCAACGACTCGCGATATTTTCTGCCTACCGCGTGCTTGCCGGTGGGGTCGTCACAAGCCATACGCATGGATATACTTGTTTTTCCAGGCCAGGCTTTTCTGGGAGCCCCCTCGGCCGCACAGGCCGCATCAAAGTGGTATTTGAGACGGTCGAACAAAAAGAGAAGGCCGCGAGGCCCCCAGAACGCCCCAGGAGAGTCCAACGGGCCCTTCAAGAGGACCCCAGTAAACCCAAACCGCCCCATCTGCATTCAGGAAACAGTGCATACGTTTAGAATGTTCGGGGGTGGACAGACCTCCTATCCTGACACGTCGATTAGTGAATTGTCCGTTTTCGGTTCTCGAGAGGGCGCCGCGGCCGTTATTTTCCAGGCTTGCGCCCGCCAGGTTTGGGCCCGAGGTCGTTTTCACCAAGCCACGTTTTACTAAAGGGAGGTTTGTCCATCCTCGAAATGTTTGCTTCATTGGGTCATCTCAGCTTCCCAAGCGGCCCTAGGAGGCCGTCCAACAGGGCTCCGAGACGGGCCAACGGGCTCTCAGGACGGTCCAGTGGGCGCCCAGGACGGCCCAGGAGAGCCCCGAGAGGGACCCACGGGCGCCCCAGGAGGGCCTCAAAAGGGTGCTGCGAGTGGTCGTGAGGCACTATCTTCAAGTCGGGCCTGTCCCTCTACAGGAGGAATAGTCAAAAATAGTAAAAACATAGTCGGGGACTATTCTCTGAGTATTTGTCTGATCATTTTTGAGCATCTTTTTGATTTTTCCTCGAACATCGGCCTGTAGGGGGACAGGCCCGACTTAACACTATCTTTGGGGGGTGCCTCCTAACATGCCCCCAAGACCCTCCAGGAGGCCACCAAGGACGTTTTCAAGAGGCCCCCAGCAGCTTCCGAGAGGCCCACAAATGGCGCCATGAGGTCCCCAAGAGGCCAAGGTTGTACGATCGAAGACGAAGAAGGCTGGTATCGAGGGTTTTGGGTATACATGTTGTGTGACGCACAAGCAACGAAGAGCAACCAGTTTTATAATGATGGTTGTTGTTCAATTCTCACTTCTGCACAGTAGTCATACTTGATCCGCCCCTCACTCACCACCCACCAAACGACCCCAACCCAACCCGAAGGCCTCAGTTTGCCCTCCATTTCCGGTGGTGGGGGGATGGGGAACATTGAAAAAACACATGGAACCCGTACCCCCCCCAACCCGAAGTTCGGGTCAAATTCGGGTCTTCGGGTTGGGTTGGGGTGGTCTGGTAGGTAGTGCCCACTGTGCCCTTTCAATAGAAGTGCCCTCCCCTTGGGCTCGCACCCTGTTTTCTGTCGCGGAGAGCCTTCTGGTTCAGACCGCATCTATACAACAACGGTTCCCGCCTGAGACCTCCTCACAAGTCATTCAGGAACCATCCTCTCGCTCGAGACCCCCGTGTAAACTATTTAGGGATCACGGTCTCGCTGGAGATTTCCCCGCAACTCGCTCAGACCCTGCGCGCCTAGGAACCGTCGGTGTGCGCCCGGCGGTGGATGTTTTGCCCCAGAGATGGACCATCTTTCGTGCCAGGAAATCTGAATCCTCCCTGATCCTTCGTCGTCCTCCATCCTCTCCTCTTTCTCCTCCCCATTCCTCCTGCTGGCTCCCGCTGGCCCCTCCGCAGATGTCGCCTCATGCCGAGGAGCCTGCCAGAGGGCAAGGCCAAGGGGAGTGGCGGGCTCAACAGGCATCTTTCCTCATCAGGTACCTTTGCAGGACTACAGCGGGGGCCCTTCCTCCCCCCTCACCGTCGTCGTCGACGCCGACGCCGCGGCGGCACCGCCGCGGCGGGCGTGGGCGTTCTCGCCGCAGAGGTGCCCGCGGCGGCCCCCCGCTCGGCGGCTTCGGCGCCGGCAGGGGCGCTGCGGCAGGGTGCTGCGGCCGCCGCCGCGACACCCGCGGAGGAGTGCTCACCGCCGTCGCTGCCGCCGTCGTTGCGGCCGTCGCTGCCGCCGCCGCCGTCGCCGTCGCCGTCGCCGTCGCCGTCGCCGCCGCCGCCGTCGCCGTCGCCGTCGCCGTCGTCGTCGCCGTCGCCGTCGTCGTCGACGTCGTCGTCGTCGTCGTCGCCGTCGCCGTCGCCGGGACATCGTCAAGAAACTGGCCCATATTCGTCGCCTGGAGGAGGAGGAAAAGGAGGCGGGGAGGGAGTTCAAGGGAGAGGTTCGTAGGCGTCTTCGTGAAGCACAGGGAGTTTGGCAACGTAACAAACTTCGCGTGTCCAGGCCGGCAGGAAGAAAGGCGACTGGCCCGCGGGGTCCGCCGAAGCTCCTCCGGAACGACGGCGCCGAGGAGCCAGACAGGCGACAATGGCACCACATCGTTGCCGAGTGTTGCACGCACAAGTACACGGACCCGGCGGAGACGGATGAAGTTCAAACGGAACGTATTGCCAGGTTTTTGTCTCAAGATGGGCTCCGAGGCGAGGCTCCACGCATGAGAATCGACCACGTTTATGCCGCTCGGAGTCGTTTGCGGCCAGGGGGAGCCACCGGCGGTGACGAGGTCGCCGTGGAGATGCTCTTCGAACTCTCGGCCGTCAGCGTGGAGAAGGTTTCCCAGATGTTCGAGGCCCGCTACGTGGGGGGAGTCGGACTGACAGTAACTAGTTGGACAGAAGTTCTGATGACATTCCTTGCCAAAGAGACCCGCTCGACCATGATGCGACAGCACAGGGGCGTGTCTCTCTTGTCGTGTATGCTCAAAGGGTACACGAACGTCCTTCTGGCCATCGCAGAGGAGCCGCGCACTGGAGAGAAATTTCGGGAGGTGGCTGCTTTCGGCTTTGTGGCAGACAAGTGTTGCAGCCAGATTGTCGGCCCCATCCGGAACATCTTGAGTAAAGCGTGCGAGTGGCCGGACCGACACCCTGCAGTAATCCTTTCTGGCGACGTGCTGATGGCATTCGACTTCTTGGCTCCCCGGGAGGTTGCGCACACCCTGCAGGACCACGAGTTTAACGGGCGCCTGTCCGCTGGACTTCGGGAGGGTCGAGGCCTCGAGCTACGGCCCCTCTTCCGGTTCCTGGAGGAGGCCCCCGAGATCCGTCTTTTCATGGTGTGCGAAAACCGGAGGCACAGACGTTCCCGTGAAGTGGAATTTCTTATTTCAAGCCATTTTTGCGAAGCTTGCTCCTGAGTGGAGGGCCCAAGGGTTGGGCTTGCAATTACAATCGAGATGGTACGCGCACGCTCTCTGGGCAGGAAATTGGGTCTGATTGAGCACTTCCAAATATGCATTGCTTCAGATGCTTCGCAGTCTTACTCTTGAGATGGCGGCCCACGGACTGTTCTGGAAAGCGTCGAGCCTCGAGGTGATCAGCCCCACGGCGACAGTGGACAACTGGGACTTCGTTCTGGATATGCCTCTGCCAGCGGACACCGTACTCGCGCCCGTCCCCGACGAAGTGCAGAACGTCAGGCCGGTACCTCTGGGAGCTCTCCCCGAGATGCCAGTGCCGTCGTTGTGGGGGACCGTCCGCGTCCCTTTGAGGCAGCAGATCGACCTGTTGGGCATTTGTCTTACGGCGACTGGGTTTTCTGAGGCGGCAGTGGAGCATCGCATCTCCCGGGCGCTGAAGGCGTTCTGGATTGACGGTGCTCTCCGACCTCAGCTTGCGAGAAGGTTTCTTCAGGTATCATGAAAATCTCCTCGTCCATGGCGTACGGGGCAGAGACGTGGGCCATCTCGCAGACGTTGCCCACTCGACTCAAACGCATAGAAGGAGGGCTTCTGCGGAGGCTCGCCCGCATCAAGCGAAAGACCGGTGAGGCCATGGAAGTCTATATGAAGCGAAGTACGCGGCTCGCACGGAAATTGTGTGTACAAATGGGCTTGCGGACTGTCGAGGAGCAGGTGCTGCTTGGACCGTGCCGCTTTGCAGGACATACTTGCCACCGTTAGAACGTGCAGGAACGCTTCGTCTCGGACGCCATGGACATGGCGCGCGAGGCTGGATGGCGCAGACTCTCAGTTCTCGGGCGCGTCATGCAGCTCCACGGCAAATGGGTCGCTGCAACTGGCCGGGACAGATGGCGGCACCGCGCCGGCTGGAAGCGCACGGCTACATGGGCAGACACGTTCATCTCTTGGAAGGGAACGTCGTGGCGGGAACTTCGCGGAGCCGGCTGGTCTCAGCACGTCGAAGAGTACGTCGCGCACGCGCTGGACTTCTTCGGACTCTCGGGCACTCAGCTTGCCCATGCTCGGGCCAGATCGAAGAAGAACCGAGACTCCGCCATCGTCGCCCGCCGGCGGATCCTCATTCGGCCGGTGGTGATCTGGCGGGAGGCGCGCGCGCATCAGGGCCGGGCTCTCCGGACCTGTGCGGCGACAGCGCTGTGGTGATCGGCTGGCTTACCGGTCGTTTCAGATGCAAGGACTTGCCCACGTGCCGGCGGGTGGTGACGCTGCAGGGCGCGCTGCACGAGGCCTGGGCGACGTCTGGGCTGGCACCGGCAGGGCTTGGAGGGCAATGGGCACGGCATGTTCTCAGGGAAGGCAATCGGGCTGCAGACAGTTGGGCGTCCCTGCAGACCAGTTTCTTAATCGCACTTCTGAGCTGGACGTACCCGCGCCGCCGTGGCGTCTGCAGGCCTCGTTTGACGGGGGCAAGAAAAAGGTGCACACAGGTAGTGGTTTTGTCGTGGAGATCATAGATTCTCAGGAACGCTCGCATGTCCTGTGCGCCGGCTGTCGCCGCTACACCCACATCACGGCCATGGAGTCGGAGCAGCGGGTCTGCGAGATGCTGATTCGGATTGTTGTCAAAATCGGTGAATGCGAGTCGCTC